TAGGCGTAGAAATCGATCAATCATGGTTGATTATTCTCCTCACATTCGATTATGATTGGTTGATTTCTACGCCAACTTCTTAATCCACTACTACTATTGTCCATTGTAGACCACGCATAAAGCCCATGGCACATACAAAAACGTAAGGCCGTAAGACATAATCAGTAAGCGAATTGGCCAATCACGATAAAGACCGTAAGGCCAGTAGCGAATTCAATCTTATACGTGGTCTACAATAGGCAGTAGCAGTAGTGAATTAAGGAGTAGGTGCAGAAATCAACTAATCATAGTTGATTATCTGTCTCACATTCGATTATGATTGGTTGATTTCTGCGTCTACTCCTTAATCCACTACTGCTACTGCCCATTGTAGACCACGCATTACGATTTCTTTACTGCTTACGTATTACGGCCTTACGTTTTTGTATGTGCCATGGGCTTTACACAGTGTCGCCTGTGTACGTAGCTGGAAAGCACACTAGGCTATAGGGTGTAGCCATATTAATCTTGAGTCTTGATTATCGATCTTTGGCTGCGTTCGCAAATGTCGCTCGAATGCTTTTATGCGGGGTCTACAATAGAAGTCGTAACGGTCATAGGGTCTTAAGTCGTAGAAAATTGATCAATCATAGTTGATTATTCTTCTCATATTCGACTGTGATTGGTCAATTTTCTACGACTTCAAACCCTACGACTGCTACGACTTCTATTGGCTACGTTTACATCGTACATTTAGGCCGCGGCGTATACAATAGATGTCCTTGTTTATCTTGTAGGTTAAACAAAGATATCTATCGTATAGGTCGCGGACTAAGAGTACGGTGTAAACGTAGCAATTGTAGACCCCGCATTAATGGCTGCGTTCAGCAGATTCAACAGTTTTACAACCGTTTTATGATTGTCTGTTGAGATAGGACCATTCTTCTAGATCTAAAAGTATGATCCAATCAGCGCGAAGGAAACTTCCAACAGTTGCAAAACAAACGTTCTGCTGAACGCAGCCAATGCCTAGGATTCATCTTCTGTTCTCGTTTAACATTTAATGTTAAAGAAACACATGATGAATCCGTGGCATCGGAGGCATCCGAGCGACGTTTCCGAACGTAGCCAATGAGCGCTCAGTGAGCGGTCAAAGTACTGAATGCATCCATTGTCAGCCATTTTGTCAGTTAGAGAATAAAGAACTTGTGAATGGTACGTGAGAGCTCCAGCAGAATATTAATCTTTTATCTTAACCATTATTTAAATGCTCTATAAAATATTAGTATTAATCATGAATTAATATCCGAAAACGATTATTTTGGACTTTTAAATATTTGGATCTGTTATCTCTTATATGGTTGTAATTATGATTCGATTCTGATCGGCTTGTCTTAGGGGCCTATTCTGTAACTCTTAACGACTCTAACGATATCGTTAAATTGCGTTGCACAGCTTTTTTACTATATACAGAATCTACACAATAACAATGTAACGATGTCGTTGCAGTCGTTAAGAGTTATAGAATAGGGCCCTTAAAATGCGCAAGACCTAAATACTTACTGCAATATTATTTAACAATTTGCATTGGACCGAAGAATCCTGAGCATCTCTTGTAGTTTATGATTTCAATTGGAGAATTTTTCGGAATTGGTCAACTATTGCTGAACAAAACAAAATAGAAGTTTTCTGCAATCATTGTGCGAAGATTTTCGTAGCTACGTTCTAGCTGGAATCTATTTTCTGCTTGCTCCTGAAGTTTTAGTGGTGAGTATTTTTTTCTTACAAAATAGCTCACATTCGTACAAAAACATTCCCAAGAAAACATTAGTTTTATTTTTTAGGGAACTTTCAAGATTTAATTTTGTTTATTCTAAAACCTGCAAAGCTTTTTATTCTACAAGTTTGCTAGTTGAGTTTGTGTGCTTGCTGCTGTACTGACAGCGGTGTTAGTAAAGCTGCTAACAATATTGCTACTTTGGCTTCAGATAATACGAGTTTTCGTGCTGGCTGAATAGTTGAAATTTATTTGACAGAAGGCACTTGATAGAAATATTCTAATAAATAAACATAAAGCAAATCATTGCTACTGTGGTAAATGTTCCTAAAACTGCAATTGCATTGGTTTTTCATTATTGCGAAAGAAATACTTTGATTATAATTCTACTATTCATTGTCAGTACTGCAAAACCTACAGTTTTACATTACATGCACCATACATTTTCAACGTTGGTAGAATGCAGCCTTGATTGGTTCTTACAATAAGCCAACATAAAATTTCATTTCATTCTTATTGCAATACATATATATACAGCAAATGGCAAGGCATTAGCAAAACTGCTGTTATCAAGCCAGCCAGTAGTTAGACTATAATAAAGCATTATGGTTGCAGCACAGACTCTTGTATAATACATGGTGCATAAAGGAATCAATGAATCGAAATTCTTCTTTTCCATTCTTTGGAATGGGAGGAAAGGAAAGATTCTGATTAATTGATTCACTTATGTGTTATGCATTATGCAACAGTCTGTGCTGCAGCTTTTACATTGAAAACAAAGAAATAAAGGAACCTATTGCAGAGTCTACAATAGAAGTCGTAGCGGTCATAGAGTCTTAAGTCATAGAAAATTCATCAATCACAGTCGATTATGAGAAGAATACTCGACTATGTGTCACTGTCACCAAGCTCAGTTGATCTAACTAGGCCAGTTAGTCCATCGGAATTGACCAATCACATTTGTCATTTTGTTTGAAGAATTGACAGATTGGTCAATTCCGATGGATTAATTGGCCCAGTTAAGTTAACTGAGCTTGGTGACAATGGCCCTATGATTGGTCAATTTTCTACGACTTACTGTGTCGCTTGTTGGAAGGCACAAAAGGTTAGTTCGCGTCGCAAATTCCAACATACTTCTACCACAGCTCCTCCTCACTCTATCAAGTGCGTTGGAGTGAGTAACAGCTATAATAGGAGTATATTGGAACATGTTGGAGCATGCGACGCGAACAAACTTAAAGTTTACTGGTTTTTATCAGGAAATAACAATTTGGTTTATGTAAGTATTCCTGTGTTTAAATCGTGACGACTTCTTATGGATTTCCCAATAAAAGATGGATTTATAATTGCATGAAGATTCGTACTCAATTGAAAACAGATAATAAATAGATTTATCCTGAATTAATCTGGAATTCCAAATATGCGTCGGACAGAACGGGATTTGCAGATAAGAGTTGACGTGGAACTTATCTAGAACCCCAAATGTATTTTGGATATAACAAGATTTCCAGTGCAAAAAACCACATTTAACCAGATGTTCAAAGTCATATATGGACATGTTTGGAATTTTTAGCAGGGTTTCCATGCGAGTTCCACTCTATCTCGCGTGGAAGTCGTATAGAAATGAGGCGTTATTTTTTTAAACTTTTTTTGTTAATAACTTTTTGACGAATAACGTCTGCCAACTGAAACCTGTTGGAGGTCACTCAGTGTCATGACCTTGACAACATATGTCAATGTCAAGATCATTGGAGCTGGGTCCCCTAAAGCGAACATTTACCGAAATAATAAGAGATGTTTTCTGTATTAACTGTTAATATTTCTTATATTAATATTTCTGTTAGTATTTCTGTTAATCTAATTTTTAATTAATATATTTTAAACAATTAAAAGGAAGAACATACGGCCACTATGCAGGATATTATTAGCGAATGTCATTTATTTTAAATTTATGAAAAAACATAAGAATCTAAACGTTTCAGTCAATTTTTGATCATTATCAGTAGCAAACCAATCAATTACAATTTTACGCGCTTAATGTACAATACAATAAATTAAAAATGTCTTCAATTTCTTATACGATATGAAGAAGTTGATAAATTTTGTTCCAATCATAATATCCACAATTTTCTTTTTTTAGTCAGTTGAGATCCTTATTGTGTTAAGGATATTGTGTTAACTGATGAATTCCTTATTTTATTTCTCAGTGCCGAATGCTGTGCGTGCACAGTAATTTTAGTAGTGAATTTGCTTTGTTTTATATTTTTAGCAATGAATCCTATGCGATCGACAACTTTCCGGAGCAGTGAGGAATCAAGATCAACACGTAACGAAGATCACAATAGTTTAGCAGTTTTACGTTCAAGAACCGAAGAAGAGAAGCAGAGGCGCAGACGAGAATGGCAACGCCAGCAAGAGCGAGAGAGACAACATGAAAAATTGAAACAGCAAAAAATTTTAGAATATGAAAGGAAACGTGCACAAGCTTTAAAATATGCTGAGGAAAAATCCTCGCGTCACAGTCGAAGTAAAAGTGATAGTGAGTCTCCCTCGCATGTTCGGTACAGAGGTAGATCTACATCAACTGCTTCCAAATCTGGTAGCCTTCATGAAAAGTGAGTGTACGATATATACACAGGATACGGTCCATTTGGTCCTACAAATGCTTCGAAGTTTTTGATTGACCAATTGGAAGAAAGAATTTTACTAATTGACCAATCAAAAAATACTTCGAAACATTTGTAGCATCAGGTGGACCGTAGCTACAATTATATACCTATATCTTTATTATAGTCCAAGCATTTATTGGTACTTAATAGAGATAAGGTGACAGGCCATTATTGATTACTTATCAGTAATATAAACAGTGACACAGATGACAGTAATGATATAGTGACACAGATGTAATGATATTTTTTAAATAGTAAAAAGGATATAATATTTTATTGAGAGAATAGAAAAATAAGAATATTTTTTTTTAACAAGAGCAAAAAAAGAACATGATTTTTTTTAAAAAGATATATCTAGAATAGAACTATTTTCCTGAAAAAAGGATCTGGTTATTTTAACACAGTATAATAATTACAATTACTTTAACATATGATCAAATTCTCTTTAGATTAGATGGGTCTCCAAGTGGAACAGTACCTTTATTCAGAGGTCCTCAGAATGCACAGATTGATACTTCGGAACTACGTCGAATTAAAGTTGATATTCATAGGAATATTCCTGTAAAAGGACCTGTTACCGAATTAGAAAGAGATATACTTAATCCTGAAGATGTGATCGTCAAGAGAAGAGAGGGTAAACTGTTAATTTCTCTATCTTTATGATTTTCTAAAATTTTTATTTTTGCAGAAAATTATTATTTAGCGCTGCAGTAAATGAAGAACTGTGTTACAGATAAAGTATTGGCTGTATCTGCAATAATAATGATGTGTCTTTATTGTACCAATAAATAACACAAAAGTTTTAATATATAAGCATTAGATTGATGCATCGATAGGTTTATTCTTTAGGCTGGCGTCCTCTGGAGCGGAAATGTACAGCGGAACGGAACAGCCCAACCAATCACAACTTTGCAGTCATTACTCTGCTTTCTTTTCTACGATTGTGATTAGTCTCACTGTTCCGTTCCGCTCATAGGACGCTAGCCTTACATTTATGAAGAATTTACTATAAAAAAATCGATTATAAACTCCCTGAAGATGACAAGCAAGAGAAATACTTGTAATAATGATGAACATTGCAAATCTGATTCAAGAAATTTTTCAACACAGGAAGAGTATTTTATTTATTATTTTCGACCTGCGGTTTTTTTCGCAAAAGGTACAAGGTTATATATTGATGTAGGAACTTAGAATGTTTTCCTGAAGGAATGTTATGTCACAAATCGAGAAGTATGTTTAACTATAATCAAACAGTATCCAAATAATTTATTGCATATTTGATACTCTCGCAGCAAGAGCTTAATGCATGTAAATTTCAAATATAGTATTTGTTTTAATGATAATTTTATTTAGATTTCTAAGCTATATGTTTATTTTTTTCAATCAAAATATTTAATTAAACATTATTTATTTATACTAAAGCTGGAAATACAATAGGCAATAGGAACAGGGAATAGGAACTAGCGAGCCCGTCCAATAAGAGTTCTAGGTTATAATATTGAACTTATACCCCAGAGTTTTGATTAGACGGCTCGTTATTCTCTGTTCCCTGTTTCTATTGCGTTTCTAGCTTTACATTTAATTAAACCTTATTTACTTATGTTTGTACAAAATTTCATTTAACTTAAAATTGTTGTTTCTATAGAAATATTCCTGTAAAAAGACCGAGCACGAGCGTAGCATGATAGACAGCGCACAAGTCTACCATGCTAGGGGACTCTGTTATTGCAAAGAGATTGCAAAAAGATTACAAAGAGGTATACTTAATCCTGAAGATGTGATCGTCAAGAGAAGAGAGGGTAAACTGTTAGTTTCTTTAAAATCTTTATGATTCTCTAAAATTCTTATTTTTTGCAGAAAATTATTATTTAGTGCTGTAAATGAAGAATTATGTTACAGATAAAATATTAGCAGTATCTGCAATAATAATGATGTGTCTATTGTATTAATAGCACAATAGTTTTGATATATAAGCACTAGATTGATGCATCGATAGGTTTATTTCTTACATCTATGAAGAATTTCCTATAAAAAAATCAATAATGAACTTCATGAAGATGACAAGCAAGAGAAATATTTGTAATAACGATGAACATTGCAAATCTGATTCAAGAAATTTTTCGACACAGGAAGAGTATTTTATCCATTATTTTTGACCTATCTTTTTTTCACAAAAGGTATAAGGTATATATTGATGCAGGAACTTAGAATATTTTCCTGAAGGAATGTTATGTCACAAATCGGGAAGTATGTTTAACTATAATCAAACAGTATCCAAATAATTTATTGCATATTTGATACTCTTGCTTAAGGCATGTGAATTTCAAATATAGTATTTACTCTAACAATAATTAATCTTATTTAGATTTCTAAGTTATGTTTATTTTTTTTAATCGAAACATTTAATTAAGCATTATTTATTTATACTGACATTTAATTAAGCCTTATTTATTTCTGTTTGTACAAATTTTATTTAACTTAAAACGTTGTTTCTATTATTTCTCGTTAAAATAAATTTCATAATTCGAATTACATAATTCATAAATATTATATTACGTGCATTCCTACATAAAAAATTATAAATTTGTAAATATGTTAAAAATGATTACGTATTTTTTAATTACCATAAAACTATTTATATATTAATTAAAAAATGTTGCTTCACAGAAAATATAATTACACAAATTTTGAAGAGTAAATGATTCAAGTCTGCCCACAATGAAGATAAGACTTAACTTTTCATGATTCACTGCGACGAACGAAGAATAGAAAAGATATGTAGGTATATAAGAATAGGTATACATATAGAAACAGGAAAGTCTTTTTAATGATTTGTTTCAATTGGTCAAAATTGATTCAATATAATGACATAACTTATACTTTTACGAAAATACGAAAAATTTTAAAAATAGTAATTTCCATTATTATAGATGATGTAATATTGTTGTTTCAATAAGTAGTTCATACAATATTTATTTATTTAATTTGAATTTATTATTACTTATCATTAAATTGTAAGATGTAAGAAGATACTCTGTTTGACGAATATCCTCATGGAAGATATTTCCTTTCACGGAAGATATTTCCTTTCACGGAAGATATTTCCTTTCACGGAAGATATTTCCTTTCACGGAAGATATTTCCTTTCACGGAAGATATTTCCTTTCACGGAAGATATTTCCTTTCACGGAAGATATTTCCTTTCACGGAAGATATTTCCTTTCACGGAAGATATTTCCTTTCACGGAAGATATTTTCTTTCACGGAAGATATTTCCTTTCACGGAAGATATTTCCTTTCACGGAAGATATTTCCTTTCACGGAAGATATTTTCTTTCACGGAAGATATTTTCTTTCACGGAAGATACTAGTGCTGTAAAAGAGATACGAAGATGATGGAAGACAGCCTACAATGAAAATAAGGTATATAGGAATAGATATA